TCGCGCCGCATCGCCGATACATCGGCGAGGCATCGCCGATGCATCGGCGATGCGGCGCGATCCTCCGACCCCCCCCCTGCTCGGACCCCATCTAGGAGGCCTAGACTTAGGTCGGGCCTGTCCCCCACACAGGGGGATTTTTGGAAGAACAATACAAAATACTGGAAAAATGCCCCCAAAGATGCCCAAAAATACTCGAACAACAGTCCCCAGACTACTGTTTGATTATTTATGAATCTTACTTCTGGAGGGGGACATGCCCGACTTACGCCCAGACTCTCACTTCCCCCCCTCGGCGCGTCGCCGAAGAGCGACGGAGCCTCGCGGGCCGAGGCCCCCCGGGCCGAGACCCCACGGGCACGCGGGGCCTCTCGCGGTGCCCCGGGGGCCTCCTCGCCGCAGGGGCGGGGAGGCGGGGGGCCACGCCGCGGCGGGCGGTCCGCGGGGCACTGCGGGCTGCCTCGGGGCAGCCTCGCTCCTCCTCCTCCTCCTCCTCCTCCTCCTCCTCCTCTCCTCCTCTCCTCCTCCTCCTCCGTCCTCTCCTCCTCCTCCTCCCCCTTCCTCCTCGCTCCCCTCCTCCTCCTCCTCCTCCTCCTCCTCCTGCTGGATGCGGGGCACTTTTGCCGCGGAGCCCCGCGTGGAACGCGAATCGACGCTAAATCGACGCTACCCGTCGCTGAACGGGTGCGAATCAACGCTGAGTCCTACGCTGTTCCCACCGCACTTGAAGGACGACATCCCAGAAAAAAATTCGAGCACCCATGAAGAGTATCGAAACAGCGTCGAACGAGTATCGCCTCCCAGGGCCCGACGCATGAAAACCCTCCAGTGTCGGTACTTTCTTGGTGCTCGGAATTCTTTCTGGTGAGTAAAGCTAAAGTAGGTTGGAACATCATAAGCTGAGTCGGCGCTTTCTGGTCGATCACAGACGCTGGCACACGCCAATACACTCCAATGACGGAATTGCGAGGGCATGCGAGGCTCTCGCACGACTTGCTACCGAACTACGGCAAGTTCGTGCCGTGCCGACTTCGGCGTTGGCTTCTGACACCGCCGGGATCGTTCTGCCTTGAACGATCGGCCGCTTCCGAAACGTCAATGTCAACCGATTCTGGGTCGCTGGCGGCGTTCAAGGTGGAACGCCGGCGGCGGGGTCGCCGCCGGTCGACACGACGCGAGCCTACCGTATCCATGCGACCGCGTATCCGCGGGACCGCGCCGTGAAGCCAGGCCGCGAGGGCGCTGACGTGAGCATGCTCGCCGCTCACGGCCCCCGGCGGAGGCCCCAGCGGACTGATCTGTCCACAGGCCAGCATAGAGGGAGGAGAAATGCCAACAGAAACCTTCGACGGTCCGCGCGGACAGTCGAAACTTCCTGCTTCTGCCTTATTTGTCCTGCGACATCTGGAAAATGTCTGGGACGAAGTCGGCCCCTGGGGAGTACCTGCGAGAGACCGGGGCCCCAGGTAACGCCGTCAAGCTCCTTCTGAGAGCGCTGGGAGCGCCCCTGGACCCCCCCGACGCCTGCGAAGGCCATCCTGGCTTTCTCTCTCTCTCTCTCTCTCTCACATGCTCTCTCTTTCTCTCCCTCTCTCTCCCTCTCTCACGCCCCCGACGACGGCGACGGCGACGGCGACAGCCACGGCCACGGCGACGGCGACGGCGACGGCGACGGCGACGGCGACGGCGACGGCGACGGCGACGGCGACGGCGACGGCGACGGCGACGACGACGGCGACGACGGCGACGACGACGACGACGCTGGAGGCGGCCGGGCGGCCGGGCGGCCAGGCGCGAAGGGCGGGGGGGACCCGGAGCCCACGTTGGTCAGGGAGGCGAGCGTGGAGCAGGTGGCGCTCATGGCGATCGCCGCGGCGGCGGTCTGGCAGGTAGGGGGCCAGATGCGAACCCTACCCCTACCCCCCACGAGTTCTGAGGGGGAGGGTGGGGTTCACAGCGTTCTGGAGCTCCCGAGCGAAGTGAACCCCACCCTCCCCCTCAAAAATCGTGGGGGGTAGGGGTAGGGTTCGCATTTGGCCCCCTAGCAGGGCAGCAAGACGAAGCGAGGGCCAGGTCCAAGTCGGACCGAGAGGAATCGGGAACCTCTCAGCTCTGGCGGTGCCAGACGATGCAGCGGGCGCCGCGGCCCTTCCAGAGAGCGTCCCAGGAGCTCAGGAACGATGCGTGCCGGTCCTGGCCTCGCCCAAGGTATGCACTCCAGTCGGAAGAAGTGGGTAGAAAACTGAAGTAGGAAGGCGAATAAAGTAGGCTGGGCTCAGGCCCTCCCAGAGAATAACACACGCAGCAAAATCACACCGATTCTTGAAGCAGGAAGGCGCTTGAAGTAAATCGGGATCTGGGATTCAAAAAATACCTGCTCAACGACTGGCGTGTGGGGGGGGAGCGAGGAGGAGGATCGAAGCTCGGTGCCAGAGTTTTTGTGTGGGGGGGGGGGCGCGCTTCGCCCTGTGAGGGGACCCCCATGGGCGCCCTCGTCGAAGCGGCTGGCTCCGCCTCGCAATTCGCTGGCCAGACCGCGCCCCTGGCAATGCATGGGGGACGAGGCGGAAAGAGGAGGGGGGAGCAAAAGAGGAGGGAGGAGAGGACAGGAGGGGAGGGGAGGGGAGAGGAGAGGAGAAAAGAGGAGAGGAGAGGAGGAAATAGAGGGGAGGGAGGAGGGAGGAGGGAGGAGGCAAGAGGAGGGCTGCGCTTCAATAAACAACTCTGTGCTAGCCAGTCCAAGTGCTGGCGAAAGGTAAGAACTCCGGCTTCAGTCCATGTTAGGATATGGGCTTCCACCGTCTCGTACAGTTCTAGACTCGGAGTGGGGGGAGGAGAAGGGAGGAGGAGGAGGAGGAGGGAGAGGGAAAGGAAGGGGAAGGTTGGCTCGGGACAGTTGGAGGGGGGAGGAGTGCTCCCTCTCCTGCTCATCCCCCTCTTTCCTCCTCCCCCGCCTCCACCCCTTCCTCCTCCCCTCCTCCGTCCCCCTCGTCCCCTCTTCCTTCCCCCGTACACCTCCCCATCATCTCCCCTCCGCTCCTTGTTACCGTCATCCTCCGTACCATCTGCCAGCACCCCACACTCCTCCCCCTCCTCCCCATCTCCACCCTCCCGTTCCTGCACATGCCCCCTGCACCTTCCCCTCCTCGCTCCCTCCTCCCCCTCCCGTAACGCCACAGCAAATACAGCAATGTGTGACACCGCGCTCGCTGTAGCCGGTGGGCACTTTGTCCGAGTTCCTGCTTGCTTCTGCGCAACCGTGTACCCGCAGTGCCAATATTTCCAGATAACCCCCAGCCGCTCCTGAGGGTGGAAGAACAAGCAATAAGAGGTTCGCAGCTGGCTCATCCAACAAGAACACCACGCATGACCCGTCGTCTGCGCGTTCGCAGATGCGGCTTGGATCGGCAGCACTCCGCGACTGGTCCCTCCCACCCGTCCTCCTCCACCCTTCCCTCCTCTTCCCCCTCCCCCGCCTCCTCCGCCACCTGCACCGCCCCCTGCCCCTACCCCTGCACCCCAGCGCCCTGGAATCGAAGAACTCGACCTCCAGGAGGTCGTCGCCGAGCTCCCTCGTTCTGGCAACCTGCCGCGCGACAGCCGCGGCCGCGGGCCACGGACGCCTGCCAAATGGCCCGAGGCCGACCCGCGGACGACACCGCGTCCCCAGAGACTGATTCCGTGCCCAGGCTTCCTGCGGGAGGAGGAGGGGTAGGAGGAGGAGGAGGAGGAGGAGGAGGAGGAGGAGGAGGGGAAGGAGGAGGAGGAGGAGGAGGAGGAGGCGAAGAAGAAGAAGCAGGCGCCTCGAAAAAGAGGCGGGCCGGCGATCCAAGATGTTCCCCTAACAATTCGGTGGCAACTCGTCGGAGCCTAACCGGCGCTAACCGACGTTGAGACGCTAGGTCGACGCTAAATCGACGCTAACCGATGCTAAGTCGGCACTATCTCATCGACTCCCAGACGCTCATCGACGCTAATCGACGCTAACCGACGCTAAAGACTTAATAAAAAAGATATACCAGGCTCCAATGATTTGCTACCGAATAAAAGCGCTTGCACTTAGGACTTCTTACCCCAGACATGCGACGTCCTGATTTTTTCAGGACGGTGTCCCTGGAACTCCCGACCCTTTCCCCAGGACCGGTTTTTCGTCCTGAGTCGTTCTTTGACGGTCCCGAGGCCCGGCGAGGGCCCCCCGGGGCCGAACACAGCCAAAAAACTCCCGCCCCGTCTTTCACGACGCGATCATGTCTGGGACTTCTTCTCCCAAGCAGATGGCTCGAGCTCCAGGGCTCTCGCCGTCGCCGCCCGCGGGCGGCTCGTGGGCGCACCCGGGCGGGGGCTGGCGCTGCCGCGTTCTCGCAAGGTCCGAGTGGGCGCCTCGAGTGGGCGCCGCGTGGGCGCTGGCTGGACGCAGCTTGCGTGAAGTCGGGCGTGTCCCTCTACACGAGGAATATTCAAAAACAGTTTTAAAAGATAGTCTGGGGGCGAATTTTTGCATATTTTTCAATATTTTTGAATATGTTTGAATGCTTTTGCTTTTTCGTCCGAAATCCGCCTGTAGGAGGACACGCCCAACCTAAAGCTTGCGGCATACCGCCTGCACCACAAAGCTCTTCCGCCACATAGAGATCCCAGACAGGATCGCGTCGCTAGCAAAAATCAGGACGGAAGTTTTTGTTGGTGATTTTCGGCCCCAGGGGGCCCTCGCCGGGCCTCGGGGCCATCAAAAAACGACTCGGGACGAAAAAAATCAGGACGGAAGTTTTTGTTGGTGATTTTCGGCCCCAGGGGGCCCTCGCCGGGCCTCGGGGCCATCAAAAAACGACTCGGGACGAAAACCCAGTCCCGGGGAAAGGGTCGGGAGTTCCAGGGACGCCGTCCTGAAAAAATCGGAACGTCGCATGTCTGGGATTGCACATTGTTTCCACCAAATAGCTTGCACATCCACAGGGCACAACCTCGCTGAGTGCGGTGCACGCTGGCAAACGTTTGTCGGT